CATTCTGACATATGCAAATGGTACAACATACCTGTGCCTATGTTAATACGGCTTCCTAAAATATCATAAAAACTATGTTGTCTGATACTTTACCAGGGGGCTCTAGGATAACTTTTAATGTAAAAATCTTTAATTTAGGTAACAAGGACCAATGACAAGCCAGAATTGGAACCATTCACTTTTGTAGGTCAAAAGATCTCAGAGGTCATTGTTCCAGGCCATTTAAAGAGGAAGAAGGACAATGGGTGGTGGGTCCAGATTGCAGAGATATCTGGCGGCTTTTCCTTCTTGGTATGGTGCTTTTTTCCCCACACTCTCACCCAAATTAGCCAGAACCCAAAGTAAACTTTCTGATGAGATTTCTTTTGCTCTAACGTAAGTTAATCTTGTTTATTTATGAAAAATTACTGCCTTGGTCCCACTTCCATCAGGAAGTAGCCAGATATCAGTATCCTTTAACATTTCAGCACATCTAAGTCACAAGTTGCTTGTTTTTACAACTCCTACTTAACATAAAATTTTGCTTTCTGGGATGCCTGAGTGGCTCAGTCGGTTAAGTGTCCGACTTGATTTTGGCTCAGGTCATGATCTCAGGGCCGGGAGATCAAGCCCCAAGTCCTCCGTGCTCAGCAGGGAGTCTGCTTGAGATTCTTTCCCTCTGCCCCTCCCCCACTCTCTCTCTCAAATAAATCCTTAAAAAACCTTCTTTGCTTTCCATGCAGTTTTTTTTAAATTTTTTTAATTAAAGGAAGTTTTTCAGGTTGGGAAATTTCATTTGTGAATGATGGGTTTCCCTTACCATTACCCTTAATTTGATGGTGTTATTGTATGAGGTAATTCAAAAATACCTTTGGTTTGAGGTTGGAGATTGGGAAGCTGGTATATATACTGGATCTTAAGAGAGCACAGAAAATTTTGGCACATGAATTAAGAATACTAATTCTAGTACTCCAAGTGTATTTAACAGATGTTTTACTGTGGGTTCTCCTTTACATTACTGGATTAATTATCTCTCTCTTAAAGAGGAACACAGGAAAAATCAATGTGGAGTTAGCATCTGGACCAGCCTTCAATGTAAGGTGAATGGCTAAATCATCAAGGACAAGAAAATTTTCTACAAAACAGGCCCTTCCTAGTAGCAGGATATTGCAGATTTTGTTCACTCAAATAGATCCTTCAAGTCTGACTGAGGCCACCATTACCTTTAGTCTAATTAAACAGGATTAAGAAAGGGCTTAGGGTTGTAGGAGCTAAGTGAAACAAAGTGAGTCATTTTCTGTATGGTGGGTTTTGAATTGTTTGGTTTTGAAAGTATATAAAATATACTAAATTAAAAATTGTGTTCCAGAAAATATGGATTTCAATTTTCAGACCTGCAGGTCAGTGCTTACCCATAAAACTGGAGTGTCCTGATCATTGTAAGCAACAGGTGTAACTAAGAAGTAACAAGTGGAGGGACGCTTCATGGTTACAGTGATTGCGTTAAATAGTGCTGCTAGATTCCTAAGTGTTCCCGGTGACTACCCTAGGTGCCAGAACAGCTCTGGGATGGTCTTGGGAAATCCAATGCAGGTCAGAATACCACTCTGGAGTACCCCAGAGTGTCCGTCAATCCATGTAAAAACATTTAGCATCCTCCTGACCTTCTGAACCGGATTACTCTAAAATAACTCCAGCAAATGTCTCAGTTCTCATTAAAAGGGACAAAGGGATATTTCTGACACTACTGAAAAATGTGTCCATGACAAAGGATATAACACTCACTACTACAGAAGCATACAGAACATCAAAGAACAGCAGATAGTTTCAAGGACACTCTTAGATTCCACATAACATTATGGCTTCAGATTGGAACAAAGAGATTGTGAATTGTGGGCAGAGAAAGCCTTTGAAAAATAATGTTGATTTGAAAAAGCAAGGGGAAGGGGAAGGCTTATGTTTGTTAAATAGCCAAACAAAAAATAGAAACACATTTTAATTTTTAAAAAATATGTAACTGAACACTTGAAAATATACGCATGTGTCCCTGAAAGTATCACTGACCCAATCTTATGGAGTATTTTATTTAATTTTACTGGCTTTCCAAAGGTTCAAACTCTATAATGATAAATTTCTCTACCTTCCTCACAATCAATAATTAAGACTGTTCCATTACTCTGGACTCATATCTACTTTGTCTTACACCCCTTTTATTTCTCTGCATGCCTCTCCTACCCACCCCCCCACCAAAAACACAAAATCAAGATGTATTATTTTAACTGCAAATCCACTAGATTCCAAAATATTTCAATTCATGAGACACCTATAGCACATTATCTATATTTGTACACTTTATTTAAAAACAAATAATACACTTAGAGCCACCAAAAAAGATATCTTAATTAGCTTATCCATACCCTGAATTTACAAAAGAAACTTCTTGCACCACAAAAATTAGCATTTGGATTAATTTACATTAATTGATATAACTGAATTTAAAAATACCTGAAGATCAAACAATCTGGTCCAGGGCTCACCAGTTGGGGGGTGGGGAATTGGGTGTGTGGAGAAAAGGAGTTACTTAGGAAACTGAACTGATGATGCCCTGAAGTCAGCTCTAGTAAACTGAAGTTGAGAAGACATAAAGTAACCAGTAGATTTCAGGATTACAAAGAAGTGGTTCCTCCTAAAAACATATTAGATCATATAGTTGGAATGGGTGTGGGGGATATCTCTTAATTTGGATTGAAAAAAAGTCTGTGGAGAAGGGGGTTGTATTTGTTTCTCACAAGAGGCAAACTTCAGCCAAACAATGAGAAGAAAGTAGGGCGGGAGGTATGTGGTAGACTGAAGGCTTTCTGACTGCTGATAATACCGAATTTAGCAGATCTGTACCAGTCAACTAAAATACCATTCTCTGAGACATTATCAGAAAGGAGCTAACAACCAGGGAAAAATCATTCTACTTTAACAAGGCACTCACTGGTTCACAGCCTGTTAAAAATCCAGGCAGACATTAAAGTTAATCTAAATTAAAATGAACTTTCTAATTTGCATCAGAGGGATGACAAGCATGTGGTCCCAGTTAAATAACATCTAAGCTTGACTAGCAAAGATGCAGAAAATTCTGACCCCTAAGTACCACTTTAGGAATACTGCTAGAATAAACAAGTGGAATCTAGGGATCTCTGTTTGGCCTAAATTTGTTTTTTTTTTTTGTTTTGTTTTGTTTTTTAAGATTAAGAACAAAAACAAATATGGAACAAAAGCAAAAACAAAATTGATGCAATCCGGTAAATACTTTGTCAATCTGGTGTCCCTGACACTGACATGGAGGTCCAGCTGGATGATGGATATGGCCAATTAAAAAACTTTCAGTGCTGAAAGTAAAAATGATTAAAATCATTTACCAATGGCCTGGCCTTTGTTTTTAAAGATGGACATGTTTTCTGGACCTTCCCTTAAAAGAAACTTCTGGAATTGATACATTTCACAAAAATAGACATATAATTTTTTTCAGCTACTACTTTTGTACAACCTGAATCCCAGTGTCAAACACAAAGTACTACAATTATATAAATAACTACACAAATAACATAGTAACAAAGGCAACTTCTAAGTAAATAAAAGTAATGATTATGTACTTAATAGCCTTGAAATAGTCAAAGAATAAAGTAAGCTGAAAAAAACTGTACTTAGAGCTCTTTTTCCATGTAAATTCAGTAACAGTTTGGCTCTTGGTTGAAAATATCACAGACATATACTAACCAGAGATTAACTATATCCACTCACTATCAACCTTGATGATAAATTTTAAGTTCTTTCAAAAGAAAACCAAAACTCTTAAGTCTTTCAATCTGATTTGTGACATTTTAGTTCAATATAACTTAAATGACAAAGCCTGAGAAAAGCACCAACATCGATTTTTAAATTGCATCCAATCATCATTTTCAGATGTCAAAGATTTGCTTTAGTTAAAATGGCAGCAATGACAAAGAGGTAGATATGAAAGATGTCATTTAAACACTATTCTTAGGTGGTATTTTAACTAGTTCAGGTGTTTAAAAATAATTTTTACTAGCTGAATCTTCATCACATAAGAATTTCATGACATGCTCTTGTGTAGGAGGGAAATATATGAAGTCCTAAAAAAGAGGGCCTTTAAAAATCACATTTTTAAAAAATGAATTTACTTAGCCAACATTTAAGAGAGCCCATCATTTTGGTGAACCAATAATTTCTCCTTTTACCTGAACTTGACTATAGTGAAAGAATAGTTATTTTTCCTCTCTATTGAAATTTCTAGGAATTCACATTCAAAATCCTTGGAAATACATGTGGTGCTCAGAAGAGCACAAAGACAATGCATGAAATGTCCCCTGAAATCCTAGAAGTTGAGCAGATACATTGAAGACATTGATGGTCACAAATCAGGACCGTCACAGATTGGCAAGCAAACACACACACACACACACACACTCTCTCTCTCTCTTAGCCCCCACCCCCCCCCCCCCCAACTCAATCCTCATCCTCACTGTAAGGCTGCATTTGTATTTTATTTTAAAGGCACCTCTCATTCTCTAGCTATTGCCTTCTTGATGATATCTGTTTTGTTAAAAATCCTGAATGTTCAATGGAAATAGTTCAGTACTGAGAATGGAATATTTTTCAATTCACATTTGAATAGCCAGGTTTTCTTACATTCAGATTTTAATAAACTAGAATGACAGTCTTTAAAACAAGCATGCTAGCCTATAATGAATATAATATATACAGTAATTTAAACATTTAGAACTATATATTATACTGCAAAAGCAAACAGCACAACACTCATCATACTCATTACCTGCGGTGTACACTACCTCTAAAAACAAAAATACAAAACAGTAAAATGCACCTATGGTTTTTATATATATATATATATATATATATATATACACACACACACACACATACATATATATGTATATATATATAGTCTATATATATTATATATATTCTTACAATATATATAATATATATTTATAAAATATACATACATTTTAGACATTTTCAAATAAATCTTTATCATTATCTCCAAAAGAAATTTATAGCAAGAATACTGAAGGAATGAAAGTCAGATAAACAAAAAATTTTTCACAAAGTTCATTATCAGTGATGCAGCATAATTTCCCCCCTTTTAGTCATAACTAAAATGATTATAAAAGCTAAATACTTTGCATAACTAATTATCTGTTTAATGGCAAAAATTGCTAAACTTGTTCAATAGAAAAATACTGAAGGTCATTATATCACTTATGTTAAATATCTGTCTACGGTTCGAGTAGCAAATGAGCTCCATATGACATCTGGGTTTTGAGAAGGGTGCTGCAAGCTCCCAGAGATGTATCCACAGCATATGAAAATAGGGCAGGGGACCCACATCTCCTGCTGATTTTCATACTATCCCAATATATTTCATCCAAAATATTTACAAACCAAGCACTATGAAAGCATTTCAATGACTGTTTGAATCTTGAATTTGTTCATATTGTGGATGTTCATTAAATTTTCTGTAGGCTGGGGGCGGAAATCAGACGCATGTCTATGCTTCTATCTGGTTGGAAGACAGCTTTGGCTCATTTCTGGGCTGAGATCACACAGTGCTAGTGGAGAAAAATCTCTGTTTCTGTGTACAGTTTCCAATGGCACGCACTGGCTTGCTGAAGAACTTTCAACAGTTCCAACATTTGCACTACAGTCTACCTTTCTCATGGTCATTTTCCACTCACTAACAGAAAAATTTCAACCATGAGGTATAAAATGCAGGGGAAGAGAATGTCTTGGTTTTGAGAATTTTCAGTGGCATAAGTAAAGCAGGCACTGAAGACCTTGAGAGGTAATTAAAGCAGTAACTGGTAGAACAATAGCTTAATCTGTCATAAATATGCCAAGTAAGGGCACCTGACTGGAATTTTCCAGTATCCCTCTATAAATGTTAGGTCAGCAACACCATTTTTTCACTCATTGAAGAACCAAAAGAGGAATGCACCAAACAAAATGTGTAATTCTATATCTGCATGGGAATAATATAAATGTTCACCTGGTAGCTCAAGTCCAGGTCAATTCATTTGATTATACAAAGGAGTCCCTTGAGCCCACTGTTAACCAAAGCACAGATGAAATGAAAAGGTAGCTGAGTCAAAATACTAAAGCATATCTGTATATCAATCAGGCAAACCTAGCACACATCTTTAAAGAAAATCTGCCTGTATACTTCAAAACTCTGAGAGGCAGAAAACAGAAATTTTAAAGAAAAATTGTCAATTACTATCCATATCACCACCAGAATACGTTTTCAAGGAGTAGATATACATATCATCAGAGGTGTCATTGTTATGACAATGGACTATGTGGGGAGAGGAATGTAGTAATTTTATTAAAAGATTAAAATATTTGTGGATATGTATTTTTAAAATCTGAGAACTATCATACATACATTTTGCTGAAACATTGGGCATTAGTAAATTATTTCTAATTTCTACATTGGTCTCTGACATTTGGGGCAAACAAGAGAGTGTGAAGACAGGTGAGACAGTTGTAGGGATGAGGTCTATACATTAGGTCCAAAGAGTGGGGTCATGGGAATACCAAGAGCTGGCCACATGTGGGTCACAGGCTAGGTGAGCTCAGGGAAGCCTGGTCCTTTATGACAGTTTTCCCCAGAAACGATATCGATACACTGTCTATTAAAACATGCTATGTATTCCAATTAAAGAATGGAGGAGGGGTAGGGGCAGGGAAAGAGAAAGAGAACTCTTTAGCCAAGGTTATGCACTGAACTCTTCCATCCAGATTTCCAGGGGGGCTCCCATTCTTGGATATATTAATGGAGGACTTCTGGGGTACAAAATAGTTGGCTTTACTGCAAAAGCAGGTATCTGACATTAACCAAACCCTTTGGGCTGTTAAAACATAATAATTACAAACTGTTTTGGTAGATGTCAGATAATTTGAACGTGAGAGACAAAGAAAGAGCAAGAGGTCATCTGAAGCATGGTATGTGGGTTGTGACAAATGAGTACTCACAGATAACTTCCGTCTTTTCAAACCACTGAAAGGTAAGATTTCATTGATATGAGATAACCACTCTGATACTATAAATATCACATGAATAAAGTGAATTTTTAAAATTAACAGAAATTATTATAAAGATATGCCCTGCTTGCCCTTAAAAATAAACAGAATCTCAAACCTGAATAAGTTAAATCCTTTAGTAAAAGCAGACTCTATCAACTATTCATAATGGTGACTCTTTTTGACAGCTAAACTTTACAATGGTACCAAATCTATTTTCAAAAATGTAATACAATATAGAAATCTGCTTACAAACTAAATATTTGTTTAGTATTTCTGAATAATAATATATTTAACATATTATTGCATTTCCTTTTTTTTCCCCCTTAATAGGTAAAATGCTTTGCCAGGTGCTTTATGTGCACAGATGAAAGGAGAGCTAAATTAAAAACTCATTTGAACACTGCCTGGTCATTATGCACATAGGGGTTAGTACAGCAGATATGGTCAAGATTACTGTTTTGACTACCTAATGTGTTTAACAAGATTTCTCAGGGGAGAACTAGGTCTAAATTTCTGTTCTTCCTCTACTCATTCCCAGTCATCAAGCTTTTTAATTATCCCTTATAGCATGCCCTATTTACTCAACAGGGACAAGCCAAACTTATGTTCGCTCAGGCCTGCCTAGCGAATTAGAACCACCTCAGAAATAAAAGCTCCTATTTGGGGGAAAATTTGAAACAGTTTTCAGGCTCACAGATTTAGCTGAGCTTGCAGCAACCTGAACAAACCTTAGTTTTAGAAAACAGTATACGAATTGCAAAACTATACTTTAACAAATGTTCTCTGTGCTCCTTCAGCAGAACAAAAGGGCAGGATAGGCTGATTCTTGCCCTGGTCTTCTGTATCTCTTTTGTGCAGTTGATTATTTATAAAGAGCTAGAAGGTGAAGATAATGCATTGTGTCATACAAAGACTTTAGCCAGTGCATCAGCCCCAGCACTGGCTATATAGCATTTGGATGGGTGGAAAGCTACATCATGAATGGATTCTTCAAACTTTTTCCGATGAGCTGTAAACTCTTGGATACACGTTTTACTTTCTAGGTTCCATAAACGTATTGAACAGTCATGACCTGCATCAAAAGAAAAGGAAAAAAAAAGAAAAGAAATTGAAAGGAAACATTACATTAACATGAAACTAATAAGGATAAATAAATAATCCATAGTTGATGTACTTACTCCCAGACATCAAGTACAAGCCATTAGGATCAACTGCTAGACTTGTAACAGCTTCTAGGTGGGCTACCATGGAGTGGATGAGTTTGCCTTTGGAAAAAAGAGATTGTTACTTTTTATTAATGGCCTTCCTCATCCCTGATTATACACCAGCTCCCTTGTTACACTGATTTCTCCAGTCACCCCTCTCTGTGTACCTACTGCATCAATAGCTTTTCCCATAACAGCTAAAACAATGTGTCTCCCTCCCCATTCCAGCCACGGTAATGATGAAAAACAAAAGCTCAAATTTCAGATTATATTTTTGTCTTTCAAATAACAACATAAAAGTCAGTCATTTCTACACAAATATTCCTTTAAGTCATGTTCATTAACCAAGACTCAGACATTATTAATCAGCTACTTTGTATCCTTTAGCTATAGGCAAATTATATCGGTTGTGAGAACAGAAGAGACTGAGACAAAGACAAAGGAACGGAGAGAAAACCTGGCCACAATTTTGGTGGAAACAACACATAGAAAGGGATTAAAATATTAAATTACTCATCACTCACAGCTAAGCAAAGTCAGCAAAAATCAATAGCAGATACTCAGGTAAATATGGCTGCTAATATGGAGTGTTTTTCTCCCAACACAGCTCCTCAGGATTTTCCTTTAGTGAAATGCAATTCAATAAAAAAATGGGAAAGCCCACATATCCTCATTCAAATCAATCAGGACCAGACAGTCAATATTATAATACAGAAAAGAGCAGTCCATGAAAAATTGACTCAAGTAAACCAAATGACTCAGGGTTTCCATCTCTAACACTAAGGCTATTCAAACACTGAACAATTTTAAACAAAATATAATGATCATATGTCTCTACTTCCAACATGTTTCTACTTTTCCCCAATATATTCACAGCAAGAGATCAGTTTTATTGCTATCTGAATGACCTTTTCATTGTGTCCGTAGTCATAACCTTGTCTAGTATCTACTAGTATTAAATAAACCAAGATGATTCTATATGCTACCATGAAGACTAGTTCTTAGCAGATCTATACAGAATGAACAGAAACTGAGCTGGGAGAGTATCTCTTTTCATGCCTACTCCTGGACTATATTACCACTAAGAAACACCCAAATCAGGATACTTACGGTGGCGTTTGTTTGTGGGTTGTTTTTTTTTTTTGGTTTGGGGGGATTTTTTTGCTTTATCACTGATCACTTTGTAATAAACACTTACCTGTATTGTTATCATAGAATTTGATGTGCCTGTCTTCATGAGCAGTGATGCTGATGGGAAGAGTGGGATGGCTGATGACTCTATTTATTTGGCAAGAAGAGTTGGCTGCAAAAAAAAAAAAAAAAGCAATAAGTTAGTCAAAGCTACTATTTCTTCACACAAGAGAACTGAATACTCACCTAAGAGACTAAAAAAGTAAATGATGTGACTTTAATTTGTCTTTAGTTCATTTATTATGTGACTATTCATAATTTCAATGTTAGGAAAGAAGAACTGCTGAGCAATACCATACTGACAAATCTAGAGGTACGTACAAATGAGAATTTTCTTTTCCACCTAAAATCAATGGGTGCCTCCCAAGGCTTAGCCTAGGGTCACTAACATTTCTCATTCTCTGACGACTTGCGATACTTCTGCTGCGTTAATAAAGTTCCATCATTATTTACATGTAGACGATACCTAAATTTATTTATTTTTTATTATTATGTTATGTTAATCACCATACATTACATCATTAGTTTTTGATGTAGTGTTCCATGATTCGTTGTTTGCGTATAACACCCAGTGCTCCATTCAGTACGTGCCCTCTTTAATACCCATCAACAGGCTAACCCATCCCCCCACCCCCTCCCCTCTAGAACTCTCAGTTTGTTTCTCAGAGTCCATAGCCTCTCATGGTTCATCTCCCCCTCCGATTTCCCCCCTTCATTCTTCCCTTCCTGCTATCTTCTTTTTTTTTTTTTTTTAACATATAATGTATTATTTGTTTCAGAGGTACAGGTCTGTGATTCAACAGTCTTACTCAATTCACAGTGATACCTAAATTTAAATCTCCACTCTTTCTAGATACAGAGCTCTTTGTCACATGTTTATCACCTGAAAACAAATATGACAAAGGGAGCTTCTGAGCTCTTTAATCTCTTTCTCATCATAATAGAAATGGTCATCGGGCCACGTGGGTGGCTCAGTTGGTTAAGTATCCGACTCTTGATTTTGGCTCAGGTCATGATCTCAGGGTCGTGAGATCAAGCCCCATGTCAGGCTCAGTGCTCAGCAAGGAGTCTGCTTGAGATTCTCTCTCTCCTCCTCCCTCTGCCCCGCCCCCCAACTTGCACACACACATGCGCGTGCATGCTCTCTCTCTAAAATAAAGAAATAAAATCTTTAAAATAGAAACGATCCTCATTTGACAGTCTACCATGTTTGGAATCTTAAAATAGTCAGCATCCTATTATGTGCACTATATAGTAACTTTCAGAGAATTTCAATTATATGCACAATGAGACAGGCAGGCCACATGTCATTAGGTCCATACCACAGTGCATGAACCAAGGTCTAGAAAAAATTGTGACTCCCTCAAAATCATGTGACAAAGCCAGTACCAGCCTCTATCCTAACCAGATGGTTCATGCAAATCACAAAGCTGCCAAAAATGGTACCTAAACTATCAGAAGTAATTCTAAAAGTCTTTTATCAAAAGGAAGTCAATCATTAAAAGCCTTTTAATTAGTGAGTTTAGTTAAGACACTTTATTTTTCTTTTAAAGGAAAAAAATCTATATATATAAAGGTAATACTAACTTAAGATATGTCAAAGTTAAAAAAAATCATGTTATGGTCCAGGGAGAGGAAAGGATGCTCTTCTTATAAAGTCCATTACTGGGACATCTGGCATGTTTGAATATAAACAATAACTTAGACAACAGCATAGTGTCACTGTTAAATTTCCTGATTTTGATAATATGCTATGTCAGAGAATGTCCTTGTTCTTAGGAATTACATGCTAAAGGATCTAGGGGTATAAGGTTATGATGTCTCTTTACGTGGTTCAGAATTTAAAATTATACACATATACAGTGATAAAGCAAATGTCACAAATGTGGCAAATGCTAAAAAATGGTGAATCTGGGTGAAGGGTAGCTAGTTTTTGTACTATTTTTGAAACTTTCTGCACATTTGAAATTATTTCAAAAAAGTTAAAATTTTTTCTAATCTCAGAATAGTTATTATGAATTTAAATTCAAACAGAAAATGTAAATATAGGTAAAAATAGCTGTAACATTAGTGTACTCTATTAGATTTTCTTGTGGTTCCTAAAAATATGACATCTTAAAAACTGAAGATAGTCTTTTTCCAGTGTTAAGGGCAAGGGACCACCAGCGTGTTATCTAAGAATAAAACAAAAAGTCACTTGACCATGTGAAGTAAGCTCTGGGTCAGTTATACTTGATTTAAATGGTCCTAAGCAAAGAATTTAGTTTCAAAACTCAGCATACAGATTTTTTTTCCCCCTCTGGAGATAAAACACCATGAACAATATCCTCTGTAGGATCTAGCAGGAAAGTAACAACAGAAAAGAAATACTTCAAGTAAAATATCTCATGTATTCTGAGAGAGAGGTTTCTGAGAATAGCTTCAATTGTATTGAGATCCAGGAAATAATTATGATAGAAATCAAATGATGGAAGCAGGCAGAAGAGTTTTTATACAGTAATACTTTCAAGGAAGTTCTCCACTTAATGGTAAATCAGACAAGTAAGCAAAATGCAAAGAACACTAGAAATCACTTGAAGGCCTACCAACCACCCTCTAACAATGAATCTAAATCTTCCAAGTATTCATATTCAGCTTGCAACTTAGAAATGATTTACTTTTCACTGGATTGACAAGTACTCAATTACCTGCTTCAACTACCTTTGACTTTTTCAGTCAAATCACCATTGACATTAAAGTTTATTCTGATTTTTAAAACAAAAATCCTTTATCCTCTTAAATTCTTTTTTTTTTTTTAAGATTTTATTTGTGGGAGAAAGAGAGAGGGAGAGCACAAGCAGGGAGAGTGGCAGGCAGAGGAAGAAGCAGGCTTCCCGCTGAGCAAGGAGCCCAACGTGGGACTCGATCCCAGGACCCCGGGATCATGACCTGAGCCAAAGGCAGACACTTAACCAACTGAGCCACCCAGGCACCCCCAATTTACTTTCACCTTGAAACGTGTTTTTGGTCAGAACTTTCATTTAAAAAAACATCTGCTAAATTCCAGAAAAGAAGAACGTAGTCAAATATAAACAGGTAGGGGTAGTCATGGTAGAAAGGAATAAAAAGACTGTATTACACAACTCTAAAGTAATAAAACTGATAATTTAGGAAATGTCAGTACATATTATTATAATTCAAAATAATTATCACTTATTCCAATAATGCTGCCTTTGTTCAAAACATTTTTGGCAGTTTTCTTCAGAAAATGCTTCCAGTATCAGGCAAAAAGTTGACACACTTAAGGAAAAAAATGGGATTGCCAGACTTGACATCTTATTAATTTAGAGCAGTCATTAAAAATCAATATTTACCACTCAGGACATTCAAAGAATTGACCACAAAATCTGAAGGTAATTCCAAAAATGTTCACATCTTTCTTAGTTTTATATTGTTTTCTATATTTTACTACTGTAAGCTTTAGGTCATATATTTAAAAATGAGTTTAAGTTTACTGAGAGCCTATGTTTCTTCGCACAAAAAGAATTCTTTTTTCTATTCCATAATCTCAGTTTTTATTTTTTTGCCTCTCTCTTTTATATCCAAATAGTTCAAAACTCTCTTCATGTCTACTTCCCAAACAATTCTCACAGGACCTCAGAAAAGAACAAAGGACAACAGACTGGGAAGAGAAAATGAAGAAAGCCAAAATGGAATGAGGGAATTTTTTAAGAGAAAATGAGTAGAGGCTTCCCTCTACGAAGGAGAGAGAGAGAGAAAGACACACAGAAAGACACACACAGACACACAGATGCATACATGCACGCCGGGGTAAGTCTTTTTAAAGCAAGTTCTCAGACTAAAACAATAGTATATGCATACACAGTTTTCTTTATCAATTGCATCCTAAACTATCACTGTCTGGATGAAGCCTAAAGATAGAAAGCAATGGTTAAAAAGCCAAAACCACTAAAATTCTGTAGTATCTTCTTCACAATCTGAGAAATTATTTCCTGACTTTCTGTATCCAATAAGAAGCTTCATATTTGAGATTCTGAGAGGCACAACTTGATCTACATTCTCATCAGGCTGTGTCAAATTACATTATTAATGCAAAATTAAGTTCTAATAGGCTGTGTCAAATTACATTATTAATACAAAATTGTTTTAAAAATGAAATCATGAGAAATGAAAAAGATTTTGTATTCAGAATAAATATTATTGTGTTCAAACAGAATTAAAAACTAATCAGTTGGTATAAAATAAAATTTGACTCCTCTTTGGAAGTCAAATGATATTCCAAACAGTATAGTTATAAATGTGCATAAACTTAACCCAAAGTCTTAAAAATCAATCATAAGTCATTATATCCTTCTAAGTTACTGTGTTCTGTGATTTAAAAGGCAGAACTCTTTATAATAACAAGTATTTTTTGTAGCTGACTCTGGTAGTTATAATTTTGATAAAGCTTAAAAATTTTATCCAAAGACTATTTAAAGTTGGTATACATACTTGAATCTAGGTTGGATTCTAAAGTGAGAATGCGCTGTTGCGTTTCCATGTTAAAGATGCTTGTATATCCTTTGCTGAATGATGCTACCATATGGCTTGGGTCACTGCTCACTAGATCCACAGAGGCAGGGATTCCCAATTCTAAGAGAGTCAGAACATAGTCAGAGAATGGTGATTAGAGGGTCTACTTGAAAATGTCCTCATAAAATAGCAAAACAAACAGTCACAAGATTTCCTTAAGAATTAAAGAAGACTCAACATTAGAATAAAAATTAACTCATAGCCATTCAATGGACATTATTTGTTACTTTTAGCCCTTATTTTGTTATTCTTACCTGTTCAGCAAGTCTTCTACCTGTTACTCAGCTAAAATATTCATAGAATGCAGGCCTTTACTCAGAAAATAAATGGAAAACATGTATGGACTATAAGTTTTGTTGCTTCCACCTAACCGGAGGCTTAAACTGGCATGGTGGGAATTCTTTACTTTAAAAGCCCATCTCTTACTAGGAATTTTTTTTTTTTTTTTAGATTTTATTTATTTATTTGAGAGAGAGAGAATGAGAGAGAGAGAGCACATGAGAGGGGGGAGGGTCAGAGGGAGAAGC